GATGGCTGTAGTGATACATATATCGAGCGACATTACTCGTGACATAATTAATCACATCGTAAAAATCGTTTAAAATACGACCAGCTTTTTCTACCTCATCAGAATCTGCACCTATGTTTGATTTTGAGGAATTTTCAACAATCGTGAAATCAGCAAAAGGAATTAAGAAGACGAAAACACAGACAACAGTTATTCGATTCCTCATGATTTTAACTGTAGAATTATTTCTCAGAATTCTGAGTTGTTCAGTAATGTATATGTATATATTAATTAATATTAATTTAATGCAGAAAACTCTTATCGAAAATTGGAACGAAGTCTACTTTTTTAAATGTAATAAAAACTCGTATTTATCAATTTGATAATTTTGGCTTATCTATAACCTTGATCTGTTTTGTTTCCATGAAACTTGAAACTCAACAAAGGAACAAAAAAAAAACGGTTAACTTCGAGAAGTAATAGAACAAACCAATTAACATCATTAAGGAAAAAGTAAAATTTTCAATGGAGTCCCTTAACCACTACTTTCAAAATCTTCGTTAAAGAAAATTCTCATTAAGACGTTAAGATGGGAATCGTAGAAATATATTCAGAAGAACTAGCTGCAAACAACTAAATAAACTTTTATTTAAACAACAAGTGAAGTTGTTTTGATGTTTAAATAAAACAATTTTATTCAAGTGCAAATGGCGAACTTTGCACTTGAATAATTCCTGCACACGTACAGTACTTTACATTTAATTTTTACGGTTGAATTATTTAAGATACTTCCTTATTATATAACGTCAGAAAAAAAATAAAACGAAATTTTTACGAATATTTTGTGTATTAATTATTTCGATTTGGTTTTAAAATGGTAATGAAAACATCGTTATTTATGTTATTCGAAGAAATAAGAAAAGTATTTATTATTATTCTTTTCTATTTGGTTTGAATCCAGCAACATCACAGTTATTTTAATTAAATTAAGAAAAAAAATTATTTTTTTGTTTGTCGAGTTTTTTTTTTGTGAGGAATCGTAGAGATTATCAGATTTCTGCTGTTGACCTCATTACATTCCATGAACATACGAACTGAAGACGATTAAATTTTAAATCTGATTATGTTTATAGAGTTCTAGAAGATGATGATAAAGGAAAAATTATGTGCTATAACTTCATAATAATTCATCATTATCGATCGCATTTTCTTCTGAAAGGCATTCTTCTGTTTCGGCCTTCTATCATAACTACAAGTGCATAAAATTTGAGAATGATGCAACCGAAGTAAAATCTTAGCATTTAAAACTGAATAAACTGTTCATTAGAATAGAAAATTATTTTTCCCTATAGATAATATTTTATATAACTTATAACAAAATTTATTTATTTTTTACTTAAACAAATTACAGTAAATACAATTATTTTTAGTTTCCAGAAGATTTCGGCGTATTTACCTTACATTAGTTGTTAATTTGTTCGTTCGTTTCGATACTTTAGCTTTATTTGAATCAACAGAAGTATACTTTGTACATTAAAAGATTTGCGAATAGTATATAAATACAGTAAATTTTGCATAGTCCATCACTCGACAATCCTACAATTAATTTGCGTGTTAATCCTTGTTGATGTACAAAGCAAAGTGGAATCAATAAACTAACCTACGCTATGATAAATTACCTGTAAAACAAATTCATTTTTTACTGTACAATATGTACAGTACATGCATGCAAAATTGAATAATCCGACATTTTACTGTACTGAGTATTACAATATAAAAATATCTTACAATTATTATAGATGTATAAAGTATGTATATTAATCATCATTTTGTATTAATTTACTATGCAAGCACAATGTCTCGTATTAAATATTATAACTGTACTCATTTATTCAACAGTAACTGGAATACGCCCGTTGGATATTTCCTAGAGAGAAGCAAAACGTGATTTATGAAATTTCAATAATTATATTTAAAATCATTATTTGAATCAAGTTTCTAAAACATGCTTTGTATCTACGTATACTAAATGTATTTGTCTTTACTTCTATCGATTAATTATAAAGTGTATTGTGATTAAAAAGTATCTCTTGCTGTATGAAGTAAGCGAATACGTCATTTCAAACAGGTGGATTTTTTCATATAGTATCGATTCTGCATATTAATTAATTATTAAGGAAACTTTGCATGCCGAATTTAATTATGCTATGTGACCTTCACGAAGAGGAATTGACTTTGACATATTTAAATTAATGTTCGGAAATGTCATTCGATTACATAAGAAAAATGTTGCGAAATTCAACAACTCTTCCTTATTTACACTTGATACGTGGTAAATAAATTAATTTCTTAGAACTTTTTGGAAACATTTCATTCGATGTATCCATTCACAGAACTGTAATATCATACTG